AAAAGTCAGGGGGTCGCCAAAGTCAGCAGGATTCATCCTCTGGGGAACACGAATGTCTGTACAAACTTTAATGTCAATCGATCTGATAGATGTTGAGATATTTTAGTCTGGACCAGCCAACTGACATTCAATCCCCTAAAGCTAATGCTGCTAGCATGGCTAAAAACTTTGGATTATCCACGTCAGCAGTTTTCGACTGCTTGACGGTGAATAAATAGTCTCTGGGGATTAACCAGAATAATGGGGACATTAATGTGGAAAGAAACCTTGCTGTCAATGTTCATAAATGCTGCCATTTACTCCTCCATTGCATCGGGACTGAAGCACACGTCTGAGAGACAAATCTCAAAACCTGGACGCATGAAACCAAAACTCTCCACATGGCTGGATATGAGAAAAATATGTTTTTTTGTCATTTGGGTGAGCCTCCTCTTTAACGGGGTGGAGAGAGGAGGGAAGAGATCGAAGGATTCTGTGTGCAGATGGCGTACAGAGAGGTAACTGTCATGCCATGCTAATCACACACCCACGCACAGACACATTGAGTGACACACACACACACACACACACACACACACAATCATTTATGCAAAGAAACAAGTTAGAATGAAGGCAGATAAGAGGGGAGAAAAGAAAAATAATAGGGAAAGTAGAGCTAAAAGAATACAGAGGAAAAAACATAGATACTCAACACATTGAGACAGTTATGAGGGATCTTATGTGCCGCCGTCGTTGTTGCATATGTGCCCTTCATTCAAACTGGACATTTAGTGTTGAAGCACTGGTGTGAGTACAAACAGCCGTCCTGTTGCCAGTGTAGACATTCACCAAACATCAATTTTGTTTCATTTTTAATCTCAAATCAGCTTTAATTCACTTAAATGAATCCCTAAATCCTCACCAGATTAGCATTTTTACAACTTTAATTGATTACATGCAAGTTCATTAAAGTGTTAATCCTAAAAAAATCACTCATGTTGTGGATTTGGTGAAACTTGTGGTCACACAAATTGTGGATTTTTATCATAAATTATCACCAATAAAAGAAATAGCTGTGTCCTAATACTAAATACTACTTCTAAACAGGTCACGAGTGTGCAGTAGTGCTTTCCCTCTGGTAAAGTGACACATACAAGATGTACGCATACTAAATAGATTGAAGACGGCAAGATACGCTTCCGTGAACTTAGAAATACCGTAAACATTGTTTTGTTGCCATTTTAAAACGCGTTTGTACAAGTATACAGAAGATTATCAATGACCACATATGAAGAAGAGCCAAGGTGTATCAAATGGTATCATCTGCATATAAATGTATGTGAAATGGCAGACAAATAATATGTCTGTAGTGAATTGAAGAGGACCAATGATCAAGCCTTGTGGGACACCACATGAAACTGCTGCTCGAGTTCTACCAGACAGATGAAAACGATTTAATGAAACTATTTCACAGTTTGATGGACTGTTGGTATACAAAGGATTAAGACAGGATGGCGTGTAAGGAAAGCATGATTTAAAGTAATACTTATCCCACTGTTACTGCGCGTTTACAGCTGGTTTATTGAATGACGCAAACGATCGATAAACATGTTTGAAGTGTGTTTAACGGCCGTCAAAACAAATTTGAATGTTATCAGCCAATTGAATGGCCGTTATCAGCGGTTATCAGCACCATTTTAATCCTTCACATGGACCAAACTGCACCACGTTGTGAAAGTGAAATTTATCGTTTTCTAATGAAACTAAACAACTTCAGGTTTAGGAAAGGTTTGCTTTTAGTTTCACACGGGACAGGAACAGCAGTCTCATGGGTGAAAGTCCTGAGTTTGTCCATTATCCTCAACACACAGACATTGTCACTGTTTCTACTACGTCACCTGACTTCCTCCTTTGCTCTCGTCATAATTAGGACGGTCACTAGAGGAGGGCGTGGTCTTCTTGTATTTGTCTCTGAGATCAATCATGTGAATGAATGATAAAGGCCTCCTGAGCCTACTAGAAGGTGTAGCAGGTCTTCTCTGACCCATATGAGGCGGATGGCGTTCATTCAATCGGCTGATAACATTCAAAGCAGATGTGAATGGACACAGTTGGAGATAACTAGCTATCAAGCAGCTAACAAAAACCCTGCCCCACCGCCTCTGCACTTTGACCAATAATACTTTTATATTTGTAAATATCATGTTTTCATAATACATTATGTACCAGACTTTTTCTTGTGTGACAAATCATGATTTGAGTATTAAAAATAGAACAAAACAGTGATATTTGTGTTTTTTTACAAAGGGTTAATTTGCAAAAACAGATGAAGTCTATTCTTAAAATGAACAAACCATCAGATTGATTGATATCCACAAACAGATATCTGTTGTTGTAAATGAATCCTTCAAGTGAATACTTTAAATTAATTATATTATTCTGCTCTAGATGAATTTGATTTTGCGTTTCACTAATCTCAGTGTGTTGACTCACAAAAACAAAATGTGCTTCCAGTCTCCTGGTTATCACATATGCTCCAAAGCCTTTATAGAGAGTTTAAAAAGGTAATTTAAAGCCTTGAATACGACCAAAAAAAGGCCAAATATGGGACAAAGAGTGAGGGTAAAAGATATTAAAAAAGGATCAAAAAGAACTACAAAAAAACCCTCTTTTCCTCTTTTTACTGCATCTCTAATTCTAGCTCTTTCCATCCTTTTAATATTTCCGTCCCCTTCGTTTCTTCTCTCTCTCGCCTCCACAGACCGCCTCCACAGTCAAATTGATTTAAGTCTCCCTCCTGAGGGGCGGGTTAGGCTACAGCGTGGGCGTGTGTTGCATTTTGTGCATGTGTACGTTTCCATCCGTCTGTACAAATTCAGGAAAAACAAAAACGCCTCGACCTTGAATAGACGTAGAAGCCTGACATTGAATTGACATAGAAGCCTGTAGAACAAGAAGCCTGGTATGATTCTGAAATGGTGTAATGAGAGGAGCTGGAGCTGTCAGGGCTGCAGGAGGACTGCAGAGGCTGGAGGACTGACACATGAAGAAGAAGAAGAAGAAGAAGAAGAAGAAGAAGGAGCACTGGGTGTTTACCTGGCATCTGCTTCACTGTAGTACTCTCTGGCAACAATGTCCTCAAACAGCTCTCCTCCTGTCACCCTGAGAACATGTGAAGAGGGAGGTTTAAAGACATAAAACGCCAGATTACATGTATTCTTACCCACACACACACACACACACACACACACACACACACACACACACACAC